CCGTCCGTCCGTCCATCCATCCATCCATCCATCCATCCATCCATCCATCCATCCATCCATCGTGTCGAGCACATTTGTGCATTTGTTGCCGTCATCATTTTCAAAACGTTTTCTTTCTACCTGAGCCCCTAGAATGTTCTTGGTTGCCATTCCTCCCCTCCTCCATCTCTTCCTCCTCCTCCTCCCCCCTCCTTCTTCACACAATTTAATCGTTGGAGCACATTCAGGAGAGCTTCAGCGCATGCTCTCCTCGTCCACACTGCTGTCCACTGGCTGTGAATCTGGACTGAAGCAGGCTGCCCGGCTTTTCGCCCACGCCTTAGCTTTTGGCCAGTGGAGGGGCTCTCCGCGTCTCGGACAGGGGCTCGGCGGAGCTGCGGTGCCCTCCTCAGCGCTGTTAGGAGCTCTTGAGTCTGATCCCACCCACAGCAACCTGATGTCCCACCGAGAGCAACGTCACCCGTCCGGTGCCATTGCACCGCCGCTGGTTCGTTTGGTGTGCCCATGGCTGCCGCCACTGTGTCAAGCCAGGGCCTCCCTCTCGTTTTCCTGCCCGCCCCCCTTACCAAGCTCGGGGTCCTTCTCCAGGGACTGATCTCTTCTGGCGGCACGTCCAAGCTCACCATCTTTGCCCCTCAGCAGCGCTCGGGCCGGCCTTCTCCCAAGGCGGACTTGTGTGTGTTCCCACTAATCACCCAGCAGGGCTCCGGAGCCCCGTGGCACAGGGGTTGCGGGTCAAGCTACTAACCGCCGGGTTGGCAGTTTGAAACCACCAGCTGCTGTGTCAGAGAAAAACCAGGCTTTCTACTCCCGTCACGAGTTAGGGCTTCACAAACCCACACGGGCATTTCCACCCTGTCCTGCGGGGTTGCTGTGAGGCAGCATCGACTCAGTGGAAGTGAGTAGCCATGAGGGACGTTCAAATGCGGATGACCGGTCACCCCGAGAGAGAATGAAGTGCATGGCGTCACCTCATGGCTATTGTCATGAGAGTCAGGCCTCCTTCCTCCCACCTGGTCTCCCCCCATGGCAGGTACCCCACTTGCCGAGAGGATGCTGGGAGACAGACCTCAAGGCTGGTGGAGCCGTGGGCTTACTTTTGAGACCTGCATGGTGACCATAAAGGCACCCCAGCGGAATGGTGGGCTACGCATTAGGCTGCCAACCCCAGGGTCGGCGGGTTGAGACCACCCACTGCTCCACTGAGACTTTCTGCTCCTGACCAGACTGACAGCCGCACACACCCTGGGGCAGTGTCACCCCGCTGTATAGGCAGTGAACAAGGATCCCTGGCGGTATAGTGCCTTCG